GCAAACAAAATCTTCTACCGAAAAGCGGATAATATCTTCTATAAAAGTTGACATGTAACAAATGTTTGAACATACGAAAAAAGCTGGCCTTTGGTGCAGATGGTGAAGCTTCTCATAAACAAAGTGGATATGAAAGCAAAGAATTTGGAAGGCAAGACAGCACTAGACATAATGAAAGAACGTGGCCTTGTTGAAGACAAAGAGGTAAAAGAGATGCTCCATGGTTCCCACATTCTCAGAGATGTTGCAAAATTTGTGTGTTCAATATTATTGTTTGTGAAGAGATTAGTGATTACGGACCATCCTGAGATCCTTTACATGTCTAAAAAGGATCGGAATGCCATATTAGTAGTTTATGTGCTCATTGCCACTGCAACTTACGAAGCAGCTCTAAGTCCACCCGAAAAAGATATGGATTTCTTCCCTCCGGAGTGGATCTCATACGTATGCTTCCAACAGTTAAATACAGTTGCATTCGTTGCTTCAATGATAGAGATTTGTGTTCATCTTCCTTCTGGGATTGGCTACGCTCTCCATTTGGTTCTTCCTTTGGTCATTTGCTATGCATTATTGGCGATCGTTTGGAGGTCGTACTTTCCTTTAGTTATCACAAGTGCAGTCATTTTTTTGCTTATTTTGTCCAAAATTCCCTTGGTTAGACAGAAGGTGAAAGGAGGTTTTAAGCCAAAGAAGCCTAACAAACTTGGTGGTCGCTTCAGCTTCAGCATGGAGAAAGAATTGACAGACATAAGTGTGCACTTTGGTCGCAGTGGTTAGAGCTTAATTATTTTCGTGATATTTGTTTTTGAATTCCACTAGTAATACTTTAAAGCGCTATGTTTGCAATTGAATATGGATTTTCCTCATGTTGAAGAGATTGGATAAGAAAAATATGTTGAGGGTGTTGTTTCATTTTGTAGTACTCAAAATGTTGTGGTTAATGACCTTAAGCATTTAAATTAGGTGTAACCTTCAAGTAGCTTATTTTGTTTGTGTATATTCTGCAATGTGATTGGTTTTCTTCAAGCCTTTTGATACATATAGTATCATGTCACAATCTTCTCACATGGAGCTTGTGTTGGCTAAATGGAGTGGTTGTTGGGTTATAGAGTATTCTGTTATTTATAGTGAAATACATATATATAGTGAACTACATATAAATGGTAGTAAAGCTATATATAGTGGACATATAAATGGTAAACCAAATTGTCATGTCCATATCTATCCGGTAAAGTTATATATAATATATGGTTATATCTGGTAAAGTTATATATACCGCTTTGAAAATGTACTTTTTACATTTTTTCTATCTTTTTCTACGGTACATACATGAAGTCATCAATATCAACTTTTAACCAATATTCTTGTCACGACCCGACTTTCGAGGCTTCGAAAGACTGAATCGTGACTAAAAAGACGAAATCGAAAACAAATAAAAATAAATAGAAGGTAAAAATCCGATAAAATCGGTAAAAATCCGGTAAAATCTAAAACAAGAAAAGGAAATTAAGGACACTTAAATTAAATATAAAATCAAAGTCAAATGTTACAAATGGGAATTACAAATACAAAATGAAATACAAAAGACTCTAAAAGACCGACAAGGGACTGACGCTCCAAAACGATACCCCTCTGTGACAGTGCAGCTCTCGAGCACCTCCCCGTATCGACTGGTACCTGAACAAAAAAAAAGGAGAAAGGGGTGAGTATAAAAATATACTCAGTAAGCAACCAACTTGTAGGCACTTTTCGCATCCTTGTCTTAGTAGGTATTCACGGTCTTATCTCTAGATTCTAGTGAGTGCGAATCACGCTACAACTCTCTTTTTTGTATCTTAGGAGGCTTGCCCATCTTATGCAGTGGAATGATCAGTGTCCTGAGGTGAGACGCGACCTCATAAGTAAGTATGAGGGGATCGTATGGCTGGATCTGAATGCGTAACTCTCTCTGAACATCATCCATGGAGGTTAGCTGACAACCCTCACACGGGACCATACATCCACTAAAATCGGAGGTTGCGATCCCCTATGTGCCGGTCAGCTACTAAGTCATCCTAGTGGTTCCACATCTCCCGCTCAGGGACGAGTTTCTACGGTCCAGGAGTCTTGTTCAGAAGACCCCTTAGCTATCACGACTAGTTCTGGGCACCTGTCACACTTCCCTGTCCGAATCTGTCAAGCTCAACGATCTCCGTACCGGAGCTCTGTCTTGACGGTACGGTATTAGAGCAGAGAGGGAAGTGGAGGTTCTAATGAAACTATCTACATTGCTCAACTTTAGCGGGCTACCTACTGTTACCGTGGTGTCCTACTATTCTTTCTAGGGTGGAACTTGGTAGCTTAGACTTGGATTCATGCATCTCTAGGATTCTCGTGCAAGATTTCACAAACCTATCGGGTTTGGAATTCTGGGCTCTGGATCCACTGGTAATCGTTTTGCGGGTCTAAATGCACGGTATTCTAGAGGTTCCCCAATCTAGGGTCTCGTCTAGCCTATTTAGTCACAAGCACCCTAATCTAAGCTCACAATTTCTTCCTATTCGTCAAGAAAGATAACACAAGCAATCACCATGCATAGGAGTTGACACGCAACAGTTCACGCAATATTAACAAACATGCTCAACGGGAAGATAACGACAATCTTTACCCAGAGCACAGATTTCACAAGTTTCCCATCCTCCTCATGCATACATACATTATCATAATCTCAATCTAAACAGATTACATAATCATTCATGGAGTTAACACGCAACAGTTTATGCAATATTAACAAACACGCTCAACGGGAAGATAATGTTCATCTTCACCCGAAATGCAGATTTCACAAGTTTCCCAACCTTCTCATACATACATACATTATCAGAATCTCAATCTAAACAGATTACATTATCATTCATATCTAAAAGCCATAGATTTTCTTATTTATTTCATTTTCATGGTTTTCATACAAGGTTCAGCTAGCTAAGGTTATGGGTATGATAGCATTCATGCTTATTCCAAGCGGTTCCTACAAGTACTGCTCGTGGGAATCCAAATGGCTACTTACTTGGTTGACGCTGTTGGGTTTTATGTCCTAAAACTCATAGTTTGTAAACAAAAACATATTTTATTTTCAATAAAGTTATTATTGTTGTTTATTCAGTAAAGATTGTTATTGAATAAAGTGAACTTTACGATCATTAATCTAAATTCAATAAACTAAGAACACTCTGACTATAGTATGATTACTTGAACTATATGTAGAGACATAAGAGTTGGTCAAATTCAAGTATACAGTCAAAATGATCTATAGTATAAGGATAAGGCTGAGTACCTTATTCTAGGAACACTATGAATGCGGCTCACTTTTGTATATGTGATATAAACAATGTGATCACTAAAATTGTACTGGAGTAGAAGGGATAGTAGACCCGAGAGCTACTAGTATTATTGTGGAGACATGTGAGTGGGGGCGTCCTATGCAATGAGTATCGCATAAGATTGAACCATGAAGAAAATCACTCTCACTTTATAATGTCGTTTACTGTTGAGACTGATTTTCTTTTCATTCGATGACCTAGGTAACTCGATCTTAATCCTGAGCTAACCATGAACTCCTGTTTATTCGGAATTATCCTTAGATTTGCATGGGTAAGAGTGGCTCAAGTTCGTCGACTCAATTGGCCTCCCATTTCAGGGGTAACACTGGGTAAATGGTTGGGGACATGGGGTGAAAGATGGAATTCACTTCTACCCTCTTTTAGGGATAGAAGAAAGATAGTTCCCTTAAGTTCTGACTTCAGGTCTTGAACAAGGGGACCTACCCTCTCATTGGCCTGAAAGGGATTCGGTTTACTAGTTGGACCACAAACCAATTGTTCATTAGAGGATCAGTGAGACATAAGAAACAAGAAGTAACTTCAGAGGTAAAACGATAAATTGACCCAGCTCTAGTTACGAATAACCTGTGAAGGATCGACTTACTAATCAAGGTTATATCAAATGGACAGAAATATATCTATAGTGAGGGGAGTGCAACTACTAGGCTATAGTGAAATGTCCTAGTAGTTAACGAATGTTGGTTAACAAGGTTAATGAGTTTAACCGGTTAATCTTGGATCGTTGGAGCCCATGATCTATAGGTTCATTAGGTTCCTCTGCTAGCTCATATCGGACTAAACCATAGAATAGTGTGACGAGTGAGTCCGAAGTGTTCGAATTCAAATTAGGGAGAATGCGCTACATATATACGATATATTTAACTGCATTTTTGTTTTATTTATGAATTAAACAAAAAGAGAGAATCTGAGATATTTAAATAAGATTTAAATATCTTGATCAAATATGTGTCGAAATTAATTGGGATTGACATTTGAATTAATATTAAATATTAATTAAATAGTTTAATTAATCATTTAATATTACTCTACTTTGAAATTAATAATTCAAATGGATGGTTGAATCAAAATGAACAAAAGTCAAAATGTTATTCATTTAATGGAAAAATTTGGAATTTTGAGTTCTCAAAATTTGGTTTAACCAAACTTGCATCTTTGCCAAATAAACCCCACAAGTTTGAGTGGAATTTTGAGTGTCAAAATTTGGTTAACTCAAACATGCATGCTTGCCACATATGAGTGGAATTTTGAGTGTCAAAATTTGGTGATCTCAAATTTGCATGTACATGCAAACATAACTGTATAAATAGAGTGATCATGGTGCATAAAATATCTTCTTCGTGGTGAAAGACCTTGAGAAAAACCTCTCCCAAACACTCTCTTCATATATACAAAATCCCTCCCAAGTTTAGTCACTCACCGAATTCCACAATTTCGTTATAAGGCTGGAGGATAGTGGAGAAGACACTAGCGGTGGTTCAAACCGGTTCGTGAGGAAAAAAAAATTTGAACTACAAAAGGTTAGTATTCAAATTCATTAAGTTTTAATATTTATGAACATGCTAATTATTTACTATAATTGATGTTTTAAAAGTGCCTAAAATCCAAATTGCTTCCGTTATATTAAGACGCGTGTCTTTCCAAGCTCGAATTATTTGCCGAAAATGGCTCCAAAAATTCTGAAATTTTCTTGATAGGTTCTAATTCACATAAAAATAGTATCAGATTTGAAATCTGAGGCAAAAAAACAACCAAACGGAGGCCAGACGGGTGAGAGAATGGTGTCCCACACGCCGTGCACACGCCAGTAGGTCTCCACACGCCCACACGCGCAGGGCACACGCGCGGGTAGTGCCGTGTTTCGAACCCCAACGACCGTGAACTTACCTTCGAATTTTATGAGCACGACACGTGGCACACAGTGTTTGGCGGGAAACGTCGGGTTGGACTGCAGGTTTTCGAACCGGTTCGGCGAGCGTACGGGTCGACCCGACTTAGCGCACTAGTGGAACACTGCCATGTGATGGACGCCGACTCCGCCGCGCTCCTCCGTTTGCCAGTCAACGCGTGGCGGTCTCTTTCTCTCTCCTACGTGTGTTTCAAATCTCGAGATGTTAGCATTTTCGTGTTTTCAATCTATTTTCTTCGGATTTTCTTATCTTTCAATCCATGAAAATTGTAGATCTCATATTCTACTTCTACAATATATTTTTACTTTCTTTTTTTTTTTTCTTGAACACAGATGAGTTAAGGCCGTCCAAAGATACGGAAATACTCACATTTTCTGTTTTCGATCGGTTTACCTGAAGTCCAACTAAACTCCGATTTTCGTCCAAGAACTTCAAGAAACCTGTGTGAATCTTATTTTAGTTACATACGTCAAAAACTCCAGATCTAAAACTCAAGAAATTCCTCAGATCTAGATAAAATCGAAACAAGAAGTTCGGAACCTTACTTTGTCCGTTCTCGAATTTTCTTGCCGGAATAAATGATTCCACCACCCAAACTCCTTTTCCAGCACGAGAGAAGTATTGCTACGAAGTTTCTTGCCTTGGATTCCCCAACTGCCGTTTGTCTCTTCCTCTCTCTCAAATCCTAACTTCTTCTCCTTTCTCCTTTCTCCTTTCTCCTCTCTCTCTCCCTCTCTCTCTTTTCTTTTCTTTTCTTTTCTTTTCTTTTCTTTTCTTTCTCTTTCTTTTCTTAGCCCAAACAACTAGACCCTTAGGCAAGAGTAGGAGCAAAATGACCCTTTTGCCCCCAATGTTATTATTATTATTTTTATTTTTTTATTTGTTTATCTAAAAATTCGGGTATTACAATTCTTCATTGTATTTTCTCTCTCATGTGCTTTGAATTTTGGATTTAAGTACATCATTTATTCTATCTCCAAGTATGGAATTGTTTCAAAATTTCAAATCATAAAATTTCGGGAAGGTGTATCTTGCTGACAGCAAAACGTTGGATTGAAGGGAAGGAAGATATCTTCATACAAACTCCATCAGGAAATCAATGGACATTAGAAGATGCCAAATATCTTCTTGGTCTCAACAAGAATTTGATCTCTATTGGTCAGTTGGATAGCACAGGCTAAGCACTAGAGTTTGGAAAGAGTTGGTAAAAGATTGTGAAGGGTGTCATGCTTGTTGCACGTGACACAAAATCTGGAACCTTATACACTGCTGCAGAGGGTATAAACATGGTTGTTGTGCTCAGAGTGCTTCCAATTCAAGTCTATGGTAGGATAGACTTGGACATATGAGCGTCAAAGAAATGAAGTTGCTGACTGCAAAATAAATTTTAGAAGGCCTAAAATCTATTAAGTTTAATAGGGGTCTTTGTGAGAGTTGTGTTATGGGACAACATAAATGAGTTAGCTTGACAAAGGTTGTCAAAGAATCGAAGAAAGTGCGGTTGGAAATGGTTCAAAAAGACGTTTGGGGACCATCTCCAGTTTCATCACTTGGTGGATCAAAGTTCTACATCACCTTTATAGATGATTTCAGCAGGAATGTATGGGTTTACTTCTTGAGACACAAGTCAGATGTGTTTGCCACCTTCAAGAAAATAACCACAAATTAGTTAAACTAAGTAGCTAAAAAATACTTCAACTATCCCAACAGAAACCATCTTTATTTATCCCTATTTTGACATACTCAAATTCTTCTAACAATCCCTCCCTTCAACTTATTATTCTTTGTCAAGAATTAGTTAAGTTAGAAAACCTCTGCCCACCATGTGTTCCACCTAACAATCCCTCCCTTCAACTTATTATTCTTTGTCAAGAATTAGTTAAGTTAGAAAACCTCTGCCCACCATGTGTTCCACCCAACTTCTGAAATGCTTCTAATTCGAAAGACTTTGTCAACAAATCAGCAAGTTGATTTCGGGTACCACAAAACAATGAATTAATGGTTCCTTCTTTTGTAAAATCTCTAAGAAAGTGAAATCCTACTCGTATGTGTTTGGGATGTCCATGTAAAATTGATTTTTTAGATAGCTTAATAGTTGAAGTATTATCACACATTAGTTTTATTTCTTCTATTTGAGAGTGACCAATCTCTTTGAGTATCCTCATCATCCAAACAGCTTGACATGCACAGACACTAGCAGCAACAAACTCAACTTCTGTGGTTGATAAGGTGACTATAGACTGGTTACGAGAAGACCAAGTTACTGCTCCTCCACTCATCATAAACACATAACCTGAAGTACACTTATTATCTTTCATGTCTACGACATAGTCACTNACAACAAATATTTTTTCTAGCTACTTGAAGTTGGTGAAATTGGACCACATAGATCTACATGAGCAAGACCTAATTTTTCGGTTGCTCTCCATTTACCTTTTTTTGGAAATGGAGTCCAATGTTACTTGCCTTTCATACATGCCTCACAGGTGGTGTTTGGAACTACAATTTGTGGCTGACTTTTCACCATTTTTTTGTGTTTCAAGGTGCACAAGCCTTTGTAGCCGAGATGACCATATGATGGTGCCAAAGTGTTGACTGGTCCATGTTATAAACTTCGAGGCATCTCCTTCATTTGTTGTGGCATATGGTTCAGCAAGCAAAATGAACAACCAATTTGCACTCATAATTGACTCTACCATTTTTCCTTTCTGTCGATGATAAATGCTACATACACCATCTTTGAACAACACTGCTACTCTTTTTTCTTGTAGTTGTTCAACGCTCAAGAGATTATTTTTGAGTTCAGGTACCCAATACACATTACTAATAGTGTAACGAACCCCAAGTAAAGTTAATTTCACTACACCCTTTTGAGTAACTTTCATACTTATGTTATTTCCAAGCTTGACAGTACGAGAAAAGGTCTTGTCTAAGCTTGAAAACATACCTTCATTTGCAAACATATGGTTTGATCAACCAGAATCTAAGAACCAAGCATCACTCCTTTTTGCTTCATATCTTTCCATATGAGCCATTAACCTCATTTCATCCTTTTCTTCCTGCTTTCATAATTCAATTACTTTTGTTCATCTTTGGACATTCATATTGAAAATGACTTAAGTCATGACACCTATAACATTCAACAGTTGCTTTGTTGAAAGTTGATCTTCCTCTTTCACGACTTTGCTCCTATAAGTTCCTCTTCCTCTATTACTTATTTTCATTCGAGCTTCGACTCTTAGAACTTGCACCTCTTCATTAATGTTGGATCTTTGAAATTTTTGTTCATGCACCACTAATGAACTTTGTAATTCATCAATGGACATGTTATTAGTATCTTTAGATTTCTCAATGAATACTACATCAGAAGTAAATTTTCCAAGCAGGGTACGCAAATTTTTTTCTACAATTTTCTTGTTTGGCATATCTTCTCCATACTTGTCATCTTGTTGGAGATTATTATCACTCTTGCAAAATGATCTGTGATACTTTCATCCTTCTTCATCTCTAGGATCTCAAATTCTCTCCTTAATGCATTAAGAAGAGATTTATTCCCTTCTTGGTTTCCACCAAACTTTCACTTCATTGAGTCCCAGACAATCTTGGTTGTGCAATGATCCAAGATTTGTTCAAATACAATACGATCAATTGCCTGAAAGAGATAATGCTTTACTTGATGATGTTTGAGACTAGCATCATCAAGGTGGCCCTTTAGTGGCATTATTTCTTCCACTGGTTCTAAGAAACCAATCTCTGCACACCATAGACCCTTTGCTTTGAGCAAATTTTCCATCAGCTCACTCCAATGATCATAGCGATCATTGAAGTGAGGGATCTTCGTTAAAGTTTTGTCTTCACTCATACTCTTTGTATTTGATCATTCAAAAATTTCTATCCTTCAAATCCTAGTGGTTGCTCTGATACCAATTGTAAGGTTTTGAAAGAAGAATGACTAAGCTAGAAACATAAACAATTGGAGTTTCCAGTAGTGACGATATTATTGAGTCCAAAAATATGACAAATTAGTTAAACTAAATAGCTAAAAGTACTCTAACTATCCCAAAAGAAACAATGTGTATTTAATCATATTTGACGTAATCAAATTCTTCTAACTCGTGGTTGACACTAATTTGTGACAACATATTTTTCAAGCATAATGCCACCTCAACTAGCAATACTTCAAAAAAAAAAAATGTGGGAAGGGGTGAGTATAAAAATACTTAGTAAGCAGCCTAGTTGCAAGCTCTCATCGCATCCTACCGCTTGGCAAGGGCACTCCAACGCTAAAGGCATATCAGAGGAAATAGAAGGTACAAACTCTGGTGAAACCGTTACATTGCTATTAGGCTTGTTAAGCTCTCTTAGTCGTCCTTGTTTTAGAGATTTACTAGGTTCTTAGGGGCTAAATCTCATCTCATTGTTTCAAAGATGTTTAGGACTATCCCCATGGGGTTAATCCAATCTCTAGGTGCACTTAAGTATAGCCCTCTGATCGTCACTCACAATCTTAAAATGCTTATTCCATTGAAACATACTAACCTAGGTCAATATGTAAACTGCCCTAACTCTAGTGCCCTAATATTAACTTGATTCACTCATGCATGCTTTATTAGAGAGAGATTTCTATCGATCACATAAAGCACAAAAAATATATTCCACACTCACATTGGTCATCCTTGGGTGTTGAGGACGTCTACTGGGTTCCGGGAGCAGCTAGGTGGTTTAAATGCAAACTTTCAACTCCAGGATACTCTATTTTGACTCCTCAAGTCTTTTTTTTTAACACTAGGGTCTAGACCTTTTGATCGATGCTCACGATCCTAAGATGCTCAATCTACTATAACTGTCTTGACCTAAGTCATCGTCTAGCCAACTTAACTCTAACACCTTAGCTTATCTCTATATAAATAATAAGCTCTATAGGGAGAACACGTAATCAATCACCTAGAGCTAAGCAAACTATATCAAGCATTCATACAAGCTCAATGAGGAGATAACATCTATCAATCGCATAGATCATAATATCACATCCTTCGTTCTAGTACAGTGGAAAGCAATAAAAGTTGGCATGCATCTTAAATTCCCATCCTAGAGACACTTTGGCCATTTTTTATGACATACATTGCATTTTCATCCAAAAATTCCCTTCTAAGGTCCTAAACAAGCATATTATAACCACCTATTTTAAGATATGCTCACATGCTAGCACGTCCTAGCAATTCGTACAAGTATTACTTAAGAAAATTCGCATGGCTACTACAAATTGCTAATTACATGGATGAAGCGTGACTTCCCAAGCATGATTTTCGATTACTAGAAGCCCCAAATTTTTTGAAAGATCCTAACTTGAATCATGATCACATCAGTTTTGAAATCAGAGCAAAAAATAGTCGAACGAACTAAAAAGCTGAACTCAAACACTGCCACACGCTTTCATACATGCAATAGGTCGCCTGCATGCAAGTACAGACTCGTATTTGGAGTAACAGTCGTGCTCACGTTGCGACTCATGGAGCCTTCATATTAATGCAATCGAATCGGGTCGAAGCAATGGGCAGGCAGTTTGGGTCAAATGCTGTAAGTTCAGGTCCAAACGATTGGTTCGTGTCACCCTCAAAAGTCTCGACGTGTGGCGCAATCTAAGCCAGACATACTTCCTCTTCGTTAGCCAACGTGTGTCTTCGACCATAGCTTCACACATGTCCTCCACCATCACTTGACCTACATTTCACCTACCATTTGAGAGTTTTCTAGATTCTTAAATCAATTTTCAATTTCTTTCTAATTTATTTGGATTTTGTATATTTTTCTACGTAACTCTGATTCAACTTGGTTCCTTCAAGATTTTTAATCCTTTTAAAAAAAAATTATTTCCATCTTAATCCGTTAGCTAGATAGAAAAATAAATGCTTCAAAAATCAGTGTAAAATACATAAATGATAATTTCTTGACGATCGTTGTAACTCCAACTATCGATCTGAATTGACTCGAGGTTAGTTCATGGATAGTGTGTGAAACCTTCCTTGGAATAACATATTAAAATTTCATAATCTAACTCTTCCCAAATCTCTCGAATTTGAAACAAATTGAGACAAAAATTTTGAAATTTATAACACCGTTCTTTCTTGATTCTCGATAAATTTAAGTGATTCAAGTATACAGATTGATTCTCCCCTTGTCTTTGAGCATTTCTTGTGAAGGAATTTTTGCTAAACTCTAACTCTAAATAGTAAGTTCAATAGATTCATTCTTCTTTTTTTAAAGTCCTCAACAAAATCTCGAAACATAGAAATTTAAAGAAAAGTTCAAGAAATTAATTATGGTAGGGAGTTGGATGTTATCCATATGAATCAAAGGTTAGGAGCATATATTTCCTTGTTATACTAGTTTTTGCTTGTGTTTAGTCCCCTCATCTTTCTTTTACTATTATTATGTTTGGGATTGTCAAGCTCAAACGAGTGCTCTGAAAGCTAGGCCAACGCCCCATTCTTAAAAAAAACATATAGAAATTACGAGTTTTTCTCAAAGATGGATAATCATAAAAAATTGATGTTATTAAAAAAAAAGCAGATTTCTAAAAGCTATTTTATGTACACTATTATACTAATATATGAACCATTTTTAAACTCAAATGATTAAAAGACATTACGTTCGAATTTTTCTTAAGACTTGGTAGGGATCACTAAGACGTGCTAGCATATAAGCATAACTTGTTTTATGTGGTTCGAATATGCATGATTAGACCTCAAAATTTCAATTTGGATGAGATGTTATTCATGTTAGGGAAAATTACCGAAATTACATTGGGATGAGAATGTAAGTTGTATTCCTATTTTAATTCTTTTTGCTACGTTAGAAAAGAGGATGGGATGTTGTGATCTGCTCTCCAAGTGATTGATGGATGTTATTTCCCCGTTGAGTTTGCATGAATGTTTAGATTATGTTTTCCCAGCTTTAAACGATCGATAGGAATATCTCCCTAACAAAGCATACATGAGTGAACCAAGTTAAGATTAGGGCACTAGAATTAGAGTGATTTTCACATTGACCTAGGTCAGTACGTTTTCAGTAGACCGAGCACCCTAGGTTTGTGAGCGGCGATCAAAGGTCTAGACCTAAGTGCACCCAGAAATTGGATTAGCCTTGAGTAGCTAACTTCGAGTGTTTTAGAAACGCGAGATGAGGACTAAACCATCTAGATGTCCCTAAAGACCCAGTAAACCTCCACGACATCTATGAATGATTAAGAAAGTTTAAAATGCTTACTAGCAATGTGAATGGTTTCATTAGAACCCTGAGGTTACTTAAGTTACTAATGAGTGTAGGGTTGGATCAAGGATAACGTGTCACTCAAGAAACCAGTCTGCAGGAGGGACTTGAGACTATATGGGTAGTTAGCTTAAGACAAGGACTCCTATTGAATGTAAAGTGGGTCAAAGTTGAAGCCGCGATGCCATAATCGGCCTTGGAAAGGGTTTAAAATTACCCAGGTAGATGACTTAGAGTGAATGTTTCTATTAAGTGTAGGAACAGGACAAAGTCTAAGACAAAAAATATGTAAAATGGTCTTGAGAGTGGACTTCGAGCTCATGATTTCTGCCACTAATGAGTGTAGAAACAGTTCTCGGTCTCCTGATTTAAACAACATTGCTTAAAATTCACTATTTTGAACGAAAATCAAGTTTGATACAAAATTAAACTTAGGGAAGATCTATGGATTGAAATGGATATATTACCTAGTTATTTTGATCCTAGGTATACTTTTCAAGTTTTGGGTAATGAATAATGAGAGAGAAATTAACAAGAACATGCGCAGAAATGGACTCGTAATTACGCTCCTCAACCATTCAACCAATAACCTTATCCTTAAAGAACATGCGCAGAAATGGACTCGTAATTACGCTCCTCAACCATTCAACCAATAACCTTATCCTTACCTAACAAGTCAGTCAACGCCCTCGTTCATGTCAATAATGGAGCTGCAGAAGCTTGACTATCTTAGCTGCTAAGAAAATCATTGAGAAGACTCCAGGAAATGAACTCGAATTGGCGGTCTCCACACAGCTCTTCATCCATCTCATTTGTAAGTCTAATTTTAGTCTCAGTTTTGGTCCATTTCAGCGCAACATATATATTTATATATAATATATAATCATTGAATTGTGCTCATACTTAAAAAACTACCACAATATTGATCCTTAATCACGCTATTTTGTTCATGCTGCNATGGTAGTAAAGCTATATATAGTGGACATATAAATGGTAAACCAAATTGTCATGTCCATATCTATCCGGTAAAGTTATATATAATATATGGTTATATCTGGTAAAGTTATATATACCGCTTTGAAAATGTACTTTTTACATTTTTTCTATCTTTTTCTACGGTACATACATGAAGTCATCAATATCAACTTTTAACCAATATTCTTGTCACGACCCGACTTTCGAGGCTTCGAAAGACTGAATCGTGACTAAAAAGACGAAATCGAAAACAAATAAAAATAAATAGAAGGTAAAAATCCGATAAAATCGGTAAAAATCCGGTAAAATCTAAAACAAGAAAAGGAAATTAAGGACACTTAAATTAAATATAAAATCAAAGTCAAATGTTACAAATGGGAATTACAAATACAAAATGAAATACAAAAGACTCTAAAAGACCGACAAGGGACTGACGCTCCAAAACGATACCCCTCTGTGACAGTGCAGCTCTCGAGCACCTCCCCGTATCGACTGGTACCTGAACAAAAAAAAAGGAGAAAGGGGTGAGTATAAAAATATACTCAGTAAGCAACCAACTTGTAGGCACTTTTCGCATCCTTGTCTTAGTAGGTATTCACGGTCTTATCTCTAGGTTCTAGTGAGTGCGAATCACGCTACAACTCTCTTTTTTGTATCTTAGGAGGCTTGCCCATCTTATGCAGTGGAATGATCAGTGTCCTGAGGTGAGACGCGACCTCATAAGTAAGTATGAGGGGATCGTNCAATATTAAAAAAAAAAGTAAATATTTTATGATTTATTAACTCTAAGTTTTTGTGGAATCTTACTTGGGTTAGAGTGGGAAAAGCTAAACATTTCCAGTAAAGATGTAAAAATCTCTCTCTAATAGATGTATTTTAAAATAGTGAAGTTGATAGTATATAATGGGTCAAAGCAAACAAAATCTTCTACCGAAAAGCGGATAATATCTTCTATAAAAGTTGACATGTAACAAATGTTTGAACATACGAAAAAAGCTGGCCTTTGGTGCAGATGGTGAAGCTTCTCATAAACAAAGTGGATATGAAAGCAAAGAATTTGGAAGGCAAGACAGCACTAGACATAATGAAAGAACGTGGCCTTGTTGAAGACAAAGAGGTAAAAGAGATGCTCCATGGTTCCCACATTCTCAGAGATGTTGCAAAATTTGTGTGTTCAATATTATTGTTTGTGAAGAGATTAGTGATTACGGACCATCCTGAGATCCTTTACATGTCTAAAAAGGATCGGAATGCCATATTAGTAGTTTATGTGCTCATTGCCACTGCAACTTACGAAGCAGCTCTAAGTCCACCCGAAAAAGATATGGATTTCTTCCCTCCGGAGTGGATCTCATACGTATGCTTCCAACAGTTAAATACAGTTGCATTCGTTGCTTCAATGATAGAGATTTGTGTTCATCTTCCTTCTGGGATTGGCTACGCTCTCCATTTGGTTCTTCCTTTGGTCATTTGCTATGCATTATTGGCGATCGTTTGGAGGTCGTACTTTCCTTTAGTTATCACAAGTGCAGTCATTTTTTTGCTTATTTTGTCCAAAATTCCCTTGGTTAGACAGAAGGTGAAAGGAGGTTTTAAGCCAAAGAAGCCTAACAAACTTGGTGGTCGCTTCAGCTTCAGCATGGAGAAAGAATTGACAGACATAAGTGTGCACTTTGGTCGCAGTGGTTAGAGCTTAATTATTTTCGTGATATTTGTTTTTGAATTCCACTAGTAATACTTTAAAGCGCTATGTTTGCAATTGAATATGGATTTTCCTCATGTTGAAGAGATTGGATAAGAAAAATATGTTGAGGGTGTTGTTTCATTTTGTAGTACTCAAAATGTTGTGGTTAATGACCTTAAGCATTTAAATTAGGTGTAACCTTCAAGTAGCTTATTTTGTTTGTGTATATTCTGCAATGTGATTGGTTTTCTTCAAGCCTTTTGATACATATAGTATCATGTCACAATCTTCTCACATGGAGCTTGTGTTGGCTAAATGGAGTGGTTGTTGGGTTATAGAGTATTCTGTTATTTATAGTGAAATACATATATATAGTGAACTACATATAAATGGTAGTAAAGCTATATATAGTGGACATATAAATGGTAAACCAAATTGTCATGTCCATATCTATCCCGTAAAGTTATATATAATATATGGTTATATCTGGTAAAGTTATATATACCGCTTTGAAAATGTACTTTTTACATTTTTTCTATCTTTTTCTACGGTACATACATGAAGTCATCAATATCAACTTTTAACCAATATTCTTGTCACGACCCGACTTTCGAGGCTTCGAAAGACTGAATCGTGACTAAAAAGACGAAATCGAAAACAAATAAAAATAAATAGAAGGTAAAAATCCGATAAAATCGGTAAAAATCCGGTAAAATCTAAAACAAGAAAAGGAAATTAAGGACACTTAAATTAAATATAAAATCAAAGTCAAATGTTACAAATGGGAATTACAAATACAAAATGAAATACAAAAGACTCTAAAAGACCGACAAGGGACTGACGCTCCAAAACGATACCCCTCTGTGACAGTGCAGCTCTCGAGCACCTCCCCGTATCGACTGGTACCTGAACAAAAAAAAAGGAGAAAGGGGTGAGTATAAAAATATACTCAGTAAGCAACCAACTTGTAGGCACTTTTCGCATCCTTGTCTTAGTAGGTATTCACGGTCTTATCTCTAGATTCTAGTGAGTGCGAATCACGCTACAACTCTCTTTTTTGTATCTTAGGAGGCTTGCCCATCTTATGCAGTGGAATGATCAGTGTCCTGAGGTGAGACGCGACCTCATAAGTAAGTATGAGGGGATCGTATGGCTGGATCTGAATGCGTAACTCTCTCTGAACATCATCCATGGAGGTTAGCTGACAACCCTCACACGGGACCATACATCCACTAAAATCGGAGGTTGCGATCCCCTATGTGCCGGTCAGCTACTAAGTCATCCTAGTGGTTCCACATCTCCCGCTCAGGGACGAGTTTCTACGGTCCAGGAGTCTTGTTCAGAAGACCCCTTAGCTATCACGACTAGTTCTGGGCACCTGTCACACTTCCCTGTCCGAATCTGTCAAGCTCAACGATCTCCGTACCGGAGCTCTGTCTTGACGGTACGGTATTAGAGCAGAGAGGGAAGTGGAGGTTCTAATGAAACTATCTACATTGCTCAACTTTAGCGGGCTACCTACTGTTACCGTGGTGTCCTACTATTCTTTCTAGGGTGGAACTTGGTAGCTTAGACTTGGATTCATGCATCTCTAGGATTCTCGTGCAAGATTTCACAAACCTATCGGGTTTGGAATTCTGGGCTCTGGATCCACTGGTAATCGTTTTGCGGGTCTAAATGCACGGTATTCTAGAGGTTCCCCAATCTAGGGTCTCGTCTAGCCTATTTAGTCACAAGCACCCTAATCTAAGCTCACAATTTCTTCCTATTCGTCAAGAAAGATAACACAAGCAATCACCATGCATAGGAGTTGACACGCAACAGTTCACGCAATATTAACAAACATGCTCAACGGGAAGATAACGACAATCTTTACCCAGAGCACAGATTTCACAAGTTTCCCATCCTCCTCATGCATACATACATTATCATAATCTCAATCTAAACAGATTACATAATCATTCATGGAGTTAACACGCAACAGTTTATGCAATATTAACAAACACGCTCAACGGGAAGATAACGTTCATCTTCACCCGAAATGCAGATTTCACAAGTTTCCCAACCTTCTCATACATACATACATTATCAGAATCTCAATCTAAACAGATTAGATTATCATTCATATCTAAAAGCCATAGATTTTCTTATTTATTTCATTTTCATGGTTTTCATACAAGGTTCAGCTAGCTAAGGTTATGGGTATGATAGCATTCATGCTTATTCCAAGCGGTTCCTACAAGTACTGCTCGTGGGAATCCAAATGGCTACTTACTTGGTTGACGCTGTTGGGTTTTATGTCCTAAAACTCATAGTTTGTAAACAAAAACATATTTTATTTTCAATAAAGTTATTATTGTTGTTTATTCAGTAAAGATTGTTATTGAATAAAGTGAACTTTACGATCATTAATCTAAATTCAATAAACTAAGAACACTCTGACTATAGTATGATTACTTGAACTATATGTAGAGACATAAGAGTTGGTCAAATTCAAGTATACAGTCAAAATGATCTATAGTATAAGGATAAGGCTGAGTACCTTATTCTAGGAACACTATGAATGCGGCTCACTTTTGTATATGTGATATAAACAATGTGATCACTAAAATTGTACTGGAGTAGAAGGGATAGTAGACCCGAGAGCTACTAGTATTATTGTGGAGACATGTGAGTGGGGGCGTCCTATGCAATGAGTATCGCATAAGATTGAACCATGAAGAAAATCACTCTCACTTTATAATGTCGTTTACTGTTGAGACTGATTTTCTTTTCATTCGATGACCTAGGTAACTCGATCTTAATCCTGAGCTAACCATGAACTCCTGTTTATTCGAAATTATCCTTAGATTTGCATGGGTAAGAGTGGCTCAAGTTCGTCGACTCAATTGGCCTCCCATTTCAGGGGTAACACTGGGTAAATGGTTGGGGACATGGGGTGAAAGATGGAATTCACTTCTACCCTCTTTTAGGGATAGAAGAAAGATAGTTCCCTTAAGTTCTGACTTCAGGTCTTGAACAAGGGGACCTACCCTCTCATTGGCCTGAAAGGGATTCGGTTTACTAGTTGGACCACAAACCAATTGTTCATTAGAGGATCAGTGAGACATAAGAAACAAGAAGTAACTTCAGAGGTAAAACGATAAATTGACCCAGCTCTAGTTACGAATAACCTGTGAAGGATCGACTTACTAATCAAGGTTATATCAAATGGACAGAAATATATCTATAGTGAGGGGAGTGCAACTACTAGGCTATAGTGAAATGTCCTAGTAGTTAACGAATGTTGGTTAACAAGGTTAATGAGTTTAACCGGTTAATCTTGGATCGTTGGAGCCCATGATCTATAGGTTCATTAGGTTCCTCTGCTAGCTCATATCGGACTAAACCATAGAATAGTGTGACGAGTGAGTCCGAAGTGTTCGAATTCAAATTAGGGAGAATGCGCTACATATATACGATATATTTAACTGCATTTTTGTTTTATTTATGAATTAAACAAAAAGAGAGAATCTGAGATATTTAAATAAGATTTAAATATCTTGATCAAATATGTGTCGAAATTAATTGGGATTGACATTTGAATTAATATTAAATATTAATTAAATAGTTTAATTAATCATTTAATATTACTCTACTTTGAAATTAATAATTCAAATGGATGGTTGAATCAAAATGAACAAAAGTCAAAATGTTATTCATTTAATGGAAAAATTTGGAATTTTGAGTTCTCAAAATTTGGTTTAACCAAACTTGCATCTTTGCCAAATAAACCCCACAAGTTTGAGTGGAATTTTGAGTGTCAAAATTTGGTTAACTCAAACATGCATGCTTGCCACATATGAGTGGAATTTTGAGTGTCAAAATTTGGTGATCTCAAATTTGCATGTACATGCAAACATAACTGTATAAATAGAGTGATCATGGTGCATAAAATATCTTCTTCGTGGTGAAAGACCTTGAGAAAAACCTCTCCCAAACACTCTCTTCATATATACAAAATCCCTCCCAAGTTTAGTCACTCACCGAATTCCACAATTTCGTTATAAGGCTGGAGGATAGTGGAGAAGACACTAGCGGTGGTTCAAACCGGTTCGTGAGGAAAAAAAAATTTGAACTACAAAAGGTTAGTATTCAAATTCATTAAGTTTTAATATTTATGAACATGCTAATTATTTACTATAATTGATGTTTTAAAAGTGCCTAAAATCCAAATTGCTTCCGTTATATTAAGACGCGTGTCTTTCCAAGCTCGAATTATTTGCCGAAAATGGCTCCAAAAATTCTGAAATTTTCTTGATAGGTTCTAATTCACATAAAAATAGTATCAGATTTGAAATCTGAGGCAAAAAAACAACCAAACGGAGGCCAGACGGGTGAGAGAATGGTGTCCCACACGCCGTGCACACGCCAGTAGGTCTCCACACGCCCACACGCGCAGGGCACACGCGCGGGTAGTGCCGTGTTTCGAACCCCAACGACCGTGAACTTACCTTCGAATTTTATGAGCACGACACGTGGCACACAGTGTTTGGCGGGAAACGTCGGGTTGGACTGCAGGTTTTCGAACCGGTTCGGCGAGCGTACGGGTCGACCCGACTTAGCGCACTAGTGGAACACTGCCATGTGATGGACGCCGACTCCGCCGCGCTCCTCCGTTTGCCAGTCAACGCGTGGCGGTCTCTTTCTCTCTCCTACGTGTGTTTCAAATCTCGAGATGTTAGCATTTTCGTGTTTTCAATCTATTTTCTTCGGATTTTCTTATCTTTCAATCCATGAAAATTGTAGATCTCATATTCTACTTCTACAATATATTTTTACTTTCTTTTTTTTTTTTCTTGAACACAGATGAGTTAAGGCCGTCCAAAGATACGGAAATACTCACATTTTCTGTTTTCGATCGGTTTACCTGAAGTCCAACTAAACTCCGATTTTCGTCCAAGAACTTCAAGAAACCTGTGTGAATCTTATTTTAGTTACATACGTCAAAAACTCCAGATCTAAAA